ATCGAATCCAAATTATTTTTAAACTGGTTCTGACTGCATAAATGCCTAAGCAAAAGCAATTTACATTAACATATTTTATTTTGCAGTTGAAGTGGGATAGGAATGCACACCCACTCAGTCAATCAAGAGCATGTCTTCAAGCTACAATAGCTTGATTACTTGCAACTATTTGTCTCTACCTGAAAAGACCTAAACTGATTTTGAACCAGCCAATTCAGGTAAGCTCATATTTGAATTTACCTCTGAAAACCAGTATCAACCAGTTTTAAGTTTCCACAACAAATTTCCCACTAGTATAATTACATCACCTTCATTTATCTTTAAGTGTATGGTTAGATACCATGGGACAACTTTTTGTGTGTCTAATTGTCAGTGGATGAGCATTAAGGAACTAAAAGCATACTTCCATACACAGTTCTCTGAGCTCCCATGTTAAAAAAAATGACTCTGTTTGGTATAAAATAAGCTGGCTCCACACGGGAGAAACCAGAGTAATTCCTAAACACTGTCCATGTCACCAGATCTGGCTGATTTGTTCAACCCTGCAACCTTGTGGCAGCTCCACAGACGCAGTGCAGGGTTCATAGCTGACTTTCGCATGTCCTAAGGAGTGAGAGCAGCGGCCACGGGGATGCAAAGCCCCTGCCCAGGACACCTCGGGGCCAGTCCTGTATCCCCTGCCAGGCCTCATCTCCATCCAGCCCCCCTTCATCATACTCTTCAGTCAATTCCATGTTCTTTTCAGGGACATACTTAAGCTCCAGGAACAGAAATCAGCCACCCTCATCTCAGGCCCAGGCAGTTCCCCTGCATTTTGGGCTGAAGCATGCATGTGCTGCCTCTGGCACTTGCTCTCTCTACATAAAGCTTCTACCCACCTACCTCTCCACTTCCCAATTTTTTCCCCCTACATTTCCTCATAGATCACTCCAAGGAAAAAGGATGGTCTCTGAACACTGTCCTGTGACAATATGTAAAACAACTTCATTCTCTCTGCCCTTCCTGTAATTTCCAATGGAGTGCATGGACGACACAAGACCAGGGAGAGAGTAATGCTCATGTGCAGGATTTTAAAGTTATCTTGGAAGAGATCAGGGAGACGCTCTAGGAAAAATGACACTATGCCTGGAAAAACACCTTTTGCAAAAGTAAGCCTGGTGGTGTCGCAGGAGTGGAAGGCAGCAGACAGACATTTCAGGGTGACAGAGCTGGATATGGAAGTTTTAAGCTATAGAACAAGTATCATACAAAGCAGAGCTGCACAAACTTTCCAGTGTTCAACTCCAACAGCACTTCAAAAATAATACCAGAGCCTTGGCCTTTTCTGCTTAAATAACAAGCTGTAAGCAAGAGCCAAAGATGTCTATCATTTGGAGAGCAAAAAGTAGACTGAGACCACACTCTCACTTTACAGATAGCTACAAAGATTACATGAAGATAGGACTGTAAAGACATATCTTTAAGTCCCTGCCAACCTAATCAAGATGGTATTAACAGTGATCTCACACTCCATCTGCCTGGCTAGCAATTTATGAAAAACGTACTTCACTATTACAGGAAAAATATGTTGCACCGCTTGTGGCCACAAACCTACTGCAGCAGCCCAGGAACTCTTGGATCAGAGGCTGCGAGACCAGTTCTTGACATTTAGCAGGTACTGCCAATGAGATCTGATTCATTCAGACAGTGTTTTTGTTTGTTTGCTTGTTTGCTGTACTGACAATCTCATCTTCACACAGATAGAATAGCTGACAAAAAACTTACAGTCCTTTGCAATTTAGACTGTAATACCATAATGCTTTATATTTTCAACTTTTCTGTGTGTCATGTAATTTTGTACTTTTTACTCAAGATCAAACATAATCCTTTTAATTAAAACCAAGTTAAAAACTGGAATCTTATCCAAACATTCTGAATCTAGAAGACATTTGGCTTTTCATCCTGTTAATTCCACATAGGTACTTCACTTAATTTTATAGGATTCTTTCTATGAGTGAAAAATCTCCTTATTCTTGCACTGATCAGCAATCATTTCTGATTAAATGACTCCTTTTCCTGCCAGAAAACAGAAAAACTCATCTCGCTTACCGAAACTGTATTTCTTCAATTAATATTGCATGCCTGTTCCCTTAGCTTACATTTCCTAAGAATCAGACCTATGGGGCTTGCTAGATGCAGAAAGGATTTTGGGGGGGAAGGGGCGGCTAGGAGGGTTACTGGTGGTGATGGTGTAATTTTGGAAAACAATATGAAAACTTCCAATTTCCAGTAAGATAAAGTTGAAGGGCAGCATTCTAATACCAGAATTACGTAAGATGACATCTGGGTTCAAAACAAAAAAAAACCCCACCAGTATCAACACGCTGGAACTAATTGCTAATTATGCATTTCTTTGCTTGGCAGAACTACCATTTGCATCATCCTTCTCGTTGCTGCAGCAAAGGAAGACTAGATATGCAACGAAGAATATTGTAAAGCAAGACAAAAACCCTACCATGGTTCTACATATGTGCCTTCTGCTGTGATCTGGAGGAAAAGTATCTAGGAAACTACTAACTGCTATAAATGTGTAGATTAGAACATTCAGAGCAGTAAGTAAGGAATAACAGTCTATGATCTGGTCAATTCCTATTCATACGAACAACTGAAAGACATCACTGGTTTTTATGCTGAATAGCAGCAAGGCAAAAAGAGCCTCTAGAGGCTTGCCCGTTCAATATCATTTGGAAGAATTTTGTCACAATTAGAATAGGCAAAGTTTTCCTCCTCCAATTATGGGGCAAGACATGGCCTTGGAGCATGAAATTATTTTCTTACCAAATAAATATTCAAATTACTTTATATACAAGCGCTGATTCAATCTCAAGAATAATTTCAGCAAGAAAATAGGTAAATTCAATCTCAGTAGCATTTCTTCCATCTTCAGCAATGCAGATGAAGAGAACCTTTTCCCTAAGTACACATGCTCTTCAAGTTCCAATACTTCACTATAAAACTAAGCACCTGCATTTACTGTATTGCAGTACATTAACACACCTTTGAACAAAATTGGGTAAATCTTCTAGTGTTCCTTTGAAAGTTTCTAGCAATGATACCCACAACTTATACTCAGGGAGACTTTTTCTACCTTAGTTTTGCTCTTCAAATACTTCCATTTCTGTTTAGAAACACTCTTCCAGCAATCTTACTTTGCCAGCTCAAGAAAACCTGCAGATTTGTCTTTTAGAAACATTCTTGGACAACAAGAAATCAAAATGTCTTCACTTTATCCAACAGATACACACTTTGTAGCTTTGCTAATATATGCAAATTGTCTGATTGCTTGAAATTACTGATTAACCAGGCTGGAGAGCTGATTACCTGATTATCCAAGAGAAAAATAATTTAGCATGATTTTGTGTCATTTGACAGTCTAGATAATTTTCTAATTAATTTGAGTTTTCAAGTGAATTCAGAGATCCTACTGAAAAAAAAAAAAAAGAGGTCAATAATCTGAATAAAGGTAAGCTTTCTAGGAATTTGCTTCTTACAACAATTATTTGTCAACTGTTACTAATTGCTAATTATGCATTTCTTTGCTTGGCAGAACTACCATTTGCATCATCCTTCTCGTTGCTGCAGCAAAGGAAGACTAGATATGCAACGAAGAATATTGTAAAGCAAGACAAAAACCCTACCATGGTTCTACATATGTGCCTTCTGCTGTGATCTGGAGGAAAAGTATCTAGGAAACTACTAACTGCTATAAATGTGTAGATTAGAACATTCAGAGCAGTAAGTAAGGAATAACAGTCTATGATCTGGTCAATTCCTATTCATACGAACAACTGAAAGACATCACTGGTTTTTATGCTGAATAGCAGCAAGGCAAAAAGAGCCTCTAGAGGCTTGCCCGTTCAATATCATTTGGAAGAATTTTGTCACAATTAGAATAGGCAAAGTTTTCCTCCTCCAATTATGGGGCAAGACATGGCCTTGGAGCATGAAATTATTTTCTTACCAAATAAATATTCAAATTACTTTATATACAAGCGCTGATTCAATCTCAAGAATAATTTCAGCAAGAAAATAGGTAAATTCAATCTCAGTAGCATTTCTTCCATCTTCAGCAATGCAGATGAAGAGAACCTTTTCCCTAAGTACACATGCTCTTCAAGTTCCAATACTTCACTATAAAACTAAGCACCTGCATTTACTGTATTGCAGTACATTAACACACCTTTGAACAAAATTGGGTAAATCTTCTAGTGTTCCTTTGAAAGTTTCTAGCAATGATACCCACAACTTATACTCAGGGAGACTTTTTCTACCTTAGTTTTGCTCTTCAAATACTTCCATTTCTGTTTAGAAACACTCTTCCAGCAATCTTACTTTGCCAGCTCAAGAAAACCTGCAGATTTGTCTTTTAGAAACATTCTTGGACAACAAGAAATCAAAATGTCTTCACTTTATCCAACAGATACACACTTTGTAGCTTTGCTAATATATGCAAATTGTCTGATTGCTTGAAATTACTGATTAACCAGGCTGGAGAGCTGATTACCTGATTATCCAAGAGAAAAATAATTTAGCATGATTTTGTGTCATTTGACAGTCTAGATAATTTTCTAATTAATTTGAGTTTTCAAGTGAATTCAGAGATCCTACTAAAAAAAAAAAAAAGAGGTCAATAATCTGAATAAAGGTAAGCTTTCTAGGAATTTGCTTCTTACAACAATTATTTGTCAACTGTTACTGTTAGTTACAGACACTTCAGATGCAACACAAACAAAATTGAGAGCTTAGACTTCCAAAATAGTCAAAAACCAATCCACAGTAAAAGCTTCAATACTCTTGTAAAGGTATCTTGTAGAGCTGGACATAAGATTAGTACCGCACCGGTCTGACACATGGCACTGAACTTCCAGTGTTACCAATAAACTCTGAACTACACGTGAAGCACTATGTAGCAGATATTTTGTCAATATGCCGAGAGAATAATAAATACTGGAAATACGTACTTGCCACTGAAAAGTTGTTGAGTGGATATGGCAGATCCACATCCTGGGGCTTCTCCTTATAGCCTATGAAAGAGCCATCTGTCTTTAGCAGGAAATATCTTGGCCGCCAGTTTTTTATATATTCTCCTAAAGGGAAAAAAAAAAAAGTTCATTAGTAGTGTAGGAAAAAAACCTTTAATACTAAAACCCATAACATATTATCAGTGACTCAATTAATTATAGGAGAATCTTTTCAGACATTTTCAATTTACAGAGAAAACTTTAACACCCTCCAAAAGAAGAGAAAATAAAATTGCAGTGGTAAACCTGGACTATACAATGATGCCTCTGGAATAAGAAGCTACAACACCGTATTGCTGTAGCTTCTATAATTCTATTTTTTCTGGATATAATATTTTATATAATATTTCATATATTTATATATGTATTATTTCTTTCTATAATATTCTATAATTCTAAATTTTATCACACTATACTCTTTAAAATCCTACATCTTGATACCTATACACAGTTCAAAATTTGCTGCAGGCAAAAATATGTACTGCAGCTTGACTCTTAACAACAAAATGAAATCTAAACTACTACAAGATAGAGCATTTTTCCTATTGAGCCAAAACAAAAATGATTCATTTCCTCTAAACATACACTAAGCAAATACAAGAATATTGGGGGTAATGGGAGAACCTACACAAATTATAGTTAACAAATATATCTGAAAGCAAAAGGAATAAAAACATAGAAGCCCATTACCTTCTAAGAGGTAAGCCCACTAATAAATCCACCACCACCTTCCCCCTACCCCAGTCTGAGCAGAAGATTCTGCTAGCCATGAGCTATTCAGGACCAGAAACACAGGGAACAGGTCAGCAATAACTAAAGAATAGCTAACTAAGGAATTACAGCTTAATTAATGCCACTTATTTACTATTTAAGGGTGAAAAATCACTTTAATAGCATTATACTTTACAATGCCAAATTGTAAAGTACACCACCAAAATCTCAGCAACAATTTCATTTTTAAAGTGCAATTACTCAGCTAAGTACAGGTGAGTTTAGATCTGCCCAGCCTCCCCATCTTCGATTTCTATCAACTCTGCAAAGTAAATAACGTATGTACAACTACTCACTAAGCTTTAAATAAGTCACTGTTTCATCATCATACAAGTGAACATTTTAAGAATAGAAGTGTATGTAACAATGCAAAATTTCCAGCCCTGACTAGAACTTCTGCCATTTGCAATGAACTGACCAGTCCAGGGGCCCTGTAGTGCCATTTACCACCTCAGCACCCTATTAACTGTAGCTATGTACCTTTAAGACAATTCAAAGGACAAAAAGAAGTTTATATCTATATGACATAGGGATTACTCCATTAAAGGCTCATATAAAAATTAATTAATCACATCTTCACCTTCCATCAGAGCAATAAACTAACTGTCGCTGAAGTTCAACATGGGAATTGTTAATATGGCCTTGCTGAACTTGATCACAACTGTACTTAGATTTTGACAAGGCCCATGGCTTAAAAATTTAACTGCAGCCATTAACATTTCTGATTTTCAAGATCTATTTAAGCAGGAAAGCTGGCTAGGGAGTAGGAGACAGAGAAGAGGAAAGAGTGATAAAAATGAACACTAATCTATTTGTGCTGACTTAATGTTTCCTGGCCCTCAGTAGCAAAACTCTTTCTATTTAGTCCTGTTTCTAAATAGCAGGGTACCTGCTTGATTTTGTTATCTATCTTATAAGTAGAAAGAAAACTGAAAAAGTCAAAGTGTTACTTAATTTGACCACAAAATTAATAGAACAGATAGAGCCCTAGTTACATTTGTATTGACTCAGAGCTTTCCATCTCAGATCTCTGGTGCTCGTTCAGCTGGGAACATCCCTACTGACGCTGACAGGCTGAACTGATTTCTCAGTGGGAAATCCCAGCTACCAAAAAACCAAACAATTTAAAAACAAACCAAAACAACAAACCAGGCATGAGATATTTGTAAGTTGGAGAAGAAATACAAGTGCACTATGGGAAAACAAACACGTAACTTTATACCAACAACAGTGAAAATTTATATCCTCATTACATGAAAAGGTAAAGACATTTCTTGAATTAAGTTTGCTGAATACTTGAAAATGAAATAATCATAGGCCTAAGTAAAGGTATAACTCATATTTTAAGAATGTTTAAAATATGCTCTGTGACAAATTTGCTGAAATCTGCATGGACTTAAAAGCTGAAGCCACAACAAAATCTTACATATCAGATCATCCAATATAAGTTCTAAAAATACCCACATCCTAGTTGCTTTCTTAAACATACCATAAAGTGACTCTTCCATACAACAAATTATACCTTATTTAGTTGTAACAGTAAGTGACTGTTATGAGAGAAAGCACCTGTTACTAGGTTTAAAAATCAATCAAGATCTTAGCCTTACCTAGGTGCATTAACTGGAAAGCAGGCACCTAAAACCACTGAAAAAGAGTTCAAGGACAGCATGGAGAGAATACCACATGCCTAAAACAGGTCAACCACCCAACAGTTCAGGTTTCAATGAGAGCCCTCCTTCCTGCAAGGAAGAAACTGGACAGGGAGATAAGCAGACTGCTCTAAAATCAGAGCTGACAGGATAAGTACAGTCATTAGTCACTTCAGGAAAGAAGAGAAGCCTTTGAACTTACATACACACTCTCCAGAAGTAAACCTGCAGAAAAGGAGACCGTTGTAGCAGGTGCCCTGAGAGACCCAGCACAAAATTCCCTGTTCACTTACTCCCTCTCCTCCTCTTGGGACAACACTTTAGACTGGATTTGGCTTCTACTAGGTACTCAGAGTCTCTCAATCAGAAAACCGAACAGATTTTTGATCACCTACTGAGTTACACAGCTGATATTCTCCTTGGAGAAAAACCATTACAAAAGTATGACTAGCACTTCCAAGCTCCTCTGAAGAGAGCTAGCAACTCTGGACAAAAGCTAATCACAAGAAGATATAAATACTGAATGACATATAAGTACCAGTTTATCCATGAGCACAGCTGTACCTCTGTCTTCATCCTGCCATAGCCAGATACAGGACATGTAATTTAAAAGCAGTTGTAAAACACTATAGCTTCATAAGGATGCATCTCTTTCTTTTATAGACATATTTCTTTAAGGAATATTTCTCCTAAATGGTTTCCCAACATGAATCACGGTCAGACTACTTTTTCAAGACGTCTGTACAAACACACACACACACAAAAACCCCTAGTTTTGTCTTGAAATGACCAATATTCCAATCCCTCTTCAAGACCTATACATGAATATTTATCATCTGCTCTTTATTTATTTTGTAATTTAATTAACAAATAGGTGAACACTTTTGAAGACTAAAGTAAACAGTGGGATCAGTGAACAGTTCACTTAGCTGCTCAAGTGGCTTAATGGCTCTCAAGATACACTCTAGGTGCTCTCTTATAACTGCATTCCTTCTACATAATCTGCTTAAAGATAGAAAAACATTGTAGTTCATACTTCTTAATAGACATGTACTTGTTAAATTGCTTTGAAAGAGAAATCCTCCATACAAAAAAAATATACTAAAACCACAGCGGAGTATTTGAAAAGAAAAAACACTTCCACATGTTTTCTAATTTACCAGCCTTGCATTAAAATAAAAGAAAAAAAAAGCAAATTTTACAGTACAAGCAATATTAAATTACTTTAAAGATATCTGGAGTGTATTTTTATCAAATACCTCAACACAAGCAAACAACAGTAAATTTACATCTGAAGTTCATTAATTCAAGTGAAAAGAAATTCCATGAAAAAAGAGGAGCCCAGGCAGGCTAACCGAACCACAAGATATCCCAACAATTCAATGAAATAGAGCTGCAGCACTTAAAAAAGCAGTGGATCTGTCATAAAGATTGAATCAGTTTGTACCCTGCTTCCTGCTGAGTTAATGTAAGCTAAATTATTATTTTGCTTAGATATACACCCTTCCAAGTTGAAAAACATGTTCTTTTGGGATCTGTTTATTAAACAGTAAGAAGAGGTCTCTAATTTCAACGACGGCAGCGAAGAAAGCCAAGTAATTCCTACATCACTTTAATTCTAATCAAAGTTGTTAAAGCTACTTGAGAAAAGGGGAACTAGAATATATATCTCACAGATATATACAGATAATAAATACATGCACACACAAAATACAAATTTTGAATTAGTTTTAGGCTGTTCGGGTCTGTTTTTTTAATAACTTTTTAAATAACTACTGAGAGAATATACCAAAAGATGAAATAAGACAGCAGCACATTCTTGAAACACATGAAAATACAATCTGATCTTTATGCAAAAAGCACCCTCATACCATGCAACTCTTTAATTAATGTTGTACTTAATAATACACTGGCTAACAACAGTAACAAAGAATGTTTAATGAAGGTTTGTTTAGAACATGACCCCCGTGGCTGGCTCTGTACTCACCTCTGTAGTGCAACCTTAATGGTTTTTCTTTTTTGCCTTTGACAGCTAGTAACAAGAATTCTGCCTTCAGGATATTTCACAAAATATGTTTATTCTAGTGATGCAATTTTTGCAGTTTTGGTACTGCTCAGGAGCGTCACAAAGAAAAGCTTTCTAAGAAACCTGACTACTATGACTAGTCAACAAATCCGTGTTAGACAAATGTATCACTCAAAGTTCACAATTTTTTTACTTCACCTCAGAACTCAAACTCTTTTTAAAGGTATACTTCACCTCAGATACAATGGTTGCTATTGTTAGTCTCGCCACTTGCAATCCTCAAACTTATGGAAATTTAGCAATTCTTGGAAAATTATTTAGTAATTTAAAATTAATCTTATTATTTTAAAATGTATTTTTTTTAAAAATCACTTTTGCAAAACAACTACATTTTTCAATATGTAAATGGTTTTAGAGGTGTGAAGGAAATGTCTTTAATATACAGTGCTGATAAGCAACAGAAAACTGAGTTCAAAAACTTGCTTCCTTAAAAGAAGCAACAGCTGCCACACAGACATAAGTGAGATTTAAGGGAAAGAGGAAAAAAAAAACAGAAAAAAAAAAAAAAAAAGAAAAAAAAAAAAAAAAAGAAAAAAAAAAAAAAAAAGAAAAAAAAAAAA